CTTGTGACGACCGTCATGCAGGCAAAAACGCCCCACTTCAATTACACGTTAAAGAATCAGTTCCAATTCCCACAGAGTGGACCATGACTCCCTAAATTATCTGCCTCAAAGTCCATCACCTTCAATGATAACCGTTGGGATTCCACTTCTATAAAAAGGGAAGCAGGGGACTTCAGAAAGTGTGCTGCATTCATACCACGAAGTGCTGCCAAATTTATTTTCCAGAGCATATTTTCCAGCAATATTCTTATTTGTTTCTCTTTACCTTTCCTGTATTGCATTTTCCATTCTTCTATAACTTCTATTTTATTGTACGATCAATTTGGCATAAAGATCAGAATCCTGCCAACATCTGTGGAGGATCTGCCCAAAGGCCAATTGGAATATTTACAGGTTTCTCATTTCAATCGATTCCAGTTTTATTATAATGCAAATCATTATTTATTATTTTTATTTATGTTTTATCTTTTCCAAATCCATGTCTAGCTAAACTTAGGTAATCGATATGTAGTAATAATTCGAATGGGATTTGATAACAACTGATTGAAAAACTTTCTTTTCAAAAAAGGTAATTTATGGTCTGAGTGTTTAAAATTGATTCACTGAATAAACTTCGTCGCGAAAGCGAGAACTTATTTAAAAGTAGTTTTGCCACGAAAGTGGGAAATTAATTAAGATACGAACCAACAAGCGAAAGCTGCGGTAAGGTCAGATAGTAAACACCAGTCATTTATTTTAATAACAGCGAAAGCACTTTAAAATGAATTAGAACTTAGAGATTTCCAAAAAATAATTTAAACCCCGAACAGGATACGAAAGTATACGTTTGGCCCTTAGGATTATGATTAGCGTCAATAACCATTGTGAGGCGAGAGTCTTCAAATCACCATTTTCTGCTTAAATAAACTTTGAAAATTATTTCATACACCAGTAACTTATCAAATCCCTGAAGAACACAATTACTACGTATCGATTCAATCAATTATAATCTAAATAGTATTCTTAGTTCCCTTTTAGTGACAATCTTATTCCCTTAAACATATTCTACCTAGCTAAACATAGTAACTCCCGAGAACACTAGTTTGATTACGAGTCCCTGTGGGATCGATATCTATTATTACTACGCGATAGACTGTGCACTTGCAGTTAGGTTGTATTAGACATAGAAAGTCGCGATCATTCTAGGAAATAAGTTGATCGCAAACTCCACTTCATGTTCCGACGGTAAATCACTTATCTCATTAGGAAAAACTTACGGATAATCACAAACAATTGGCACACCACCAACTTCCCCACTTTATTAATACTCAAAGTTTCCATCAAAATAAACATCTCAACACCATCCTGCACCGACTCACCAAAACAATTTGTAAGCACTTAGCTTAACTCAAAGCAATTCACTGCACACACCATCTAAGCTTGCAAGACACGTCTATCCCATCCAACATAACCCCCGTTTACTATCAACAAGAGATTAAGGGTGATCAGTTTCTCAATTTGTCAATAGACATCCGAAAATCATGATGGGGCATAAACCATCTTTACCAAACTATAAGAGCATTCATCAATACACTGAGCCACCACTCCACACTTGAAGCATCCTAGAGAAGCACAAGCTTCTCCCCCACTTGTTTCATTCTCACTTCTGCAAACAAATGTTAGAAAACAAACGTGTATCGACAATGTTTTCACACACATGTCACATACTAGGGAAAAATAACATTAGACAACTTGGCCGGACGGACCGACCTGCTCTGATACCTCTAATGTAACACCCTTTTCAACCCCACAAATATTGTGGCAAAATAATAGAATTTATCAGAGTAAAATTTTAAACACCAGAAAAATCACCTCAAAGGGCGTACATTTCTCAATAAATTCAAATCAAGGTCAATACTCCGTAAGCAACAGGTTTTCTCAAAATTACTCAAAAGTGCTCAAATGGCAGCGAAACTCAAAAATGCAAAAATCCAAAGTTTTCCTTTTACCGCAAGGAAATCAACATAACAAAAACCAATAAAATGATTTGACTCAAGGACCCCAACCCGATGTTACACTATCAGAGCAAGACCCTCTAAGTCAACCACAATGGCCAACGACCCAAAAACTTCAAAAGTCCTCGACGAAATCCACAACTAAACTTGGACATCTGCACGTTACCCACACGGAGGCAACATTCGAACAGACATGGTGAGTAAAGCGATTCATAATAATCAATATATAAAACAACGTCATTTTCATATTATGCATCATCATATTCATCAATGGGCATCAAAGGCCACAACATCATAAATTACTCAAGATTGCCTCATAGGATCATCAAGGAACATCAAAGGGCATAATATCATAATTACACCAAATTATCTCATAAATGCAAATGCAACAAGACTCATGCATGTGGTACCAATCATCACAGCTCGATGGATACTAGGCCATCAACCCTCCATAGATCCCCATCAATAGGATCAATTCTATAGCACATCAAAATACCTCACATCTGCACAATAGGACTGAAGCCAAAGAAATCAAGGTCCTGAACCGAATTCTAGATGCACATGAATGCATGATGCACACGTCAATAATCATCCTCATAATAACATCATAGGTGCATCATCATTCATCAAAATCATCAAAATTATCATCATAAATTTTATCATCATAGAATCATCAAAAACTCATGGAAATATCATCATAGCTCATCATCATTACTCATAGGAATTATCATTATACAATCATGTATTAATCTCATCAGAATCATAGTTGTACTCATGGTAATTCATCATACAATCACGTATTTAATCTCATAAAAATATTAGATAATCAATCATCTTATTTATACTATTTTATAGCCCTGTTCATTAGCTTTCCAACGCTTCGAACGGGGCCAAAACGGACTTACGGATCAAAAGTTACGTCCAAAACGATTTCGACCGAAAACATGAACAATCGTGACGGGCAACATGCAATTTTCTACCTTTTTCACCGCTGGAGGCCTTCCGGACCTCCGATTTCGATTATGTAAATACCCAAACTCTCAGAAAATTACAACTCATCCAATACTGTAATTATCTCAAGTAAATTTACAATTTTAACACAATTGAACCATTTAATCATCATTTTAAGATTATGCATAAAACCTTTAAAATTAAGGGATATAGGTTCAATCCTGTATCATATTTACGCCTCTAATTCCCATAATTTCTTACAAATACCCCCACAGTCATTAGAGTTATCACAAACCACTTATCCTACAGGGTTAAACAATCTCAACAACAGATTTTGGCCATGAAGGCCTAATTTCCTTTACTCTCAAATCAACCTCAAACCTATCAGACCATCAGTTCAAATCCCTATACGATTAGAATCTCAATAACAAATTTTGGCCACGATGGTCTACTTTTCCCAAACCCAAATCGACCTCAAACCTATCAGACCATCCGTTCAAATCCCTATACGGTTAAAACCTCAATAATAGATTTTGACTATGAAGGCTAATTTCCTTTATCTCAAATCAGCCTCAAACCCTTTAAACCCTTAAATCAACTTTAAATACATTGAATCACATATTGAAAACAATGAAGGCAATACTCCCCATACCTTAATTTCCGACCCTAAGCCTTTCTTCTTAATTCTTGGAAACCTCGCGAAGCTTTTGCCTCAATCCTCTTCCTCAGAGCTATGACATCTATTTCTTCTCTTTTCATGGTCTAACAAGAATGAATCCTAATTCGCTCAAAATTTCTTTTTGTTAAACCTAACTTTGGACCTTAAAATTGGGCTTTCCAACTTCACCCTCACTAACTCCTTTTCAAATATCCATTTTCCCTTTAATTTACTTATATTTATTTAAATTAATCATAATACCAATATATTCATATTATATACTTTATTTAAATAAATAACACAAAACTCCATAATTCTCAATATTTTATACCAACCACCAAAAATCACCAAAATTACGAATATTCATATTTAAATAATTTAAATAAATATTCCAATAAATTTGGGGTGTTACACATTGATCAAGCATATTCACCATTTAATTGATGATCTGAATGAGGTGAAAATGTTGCATCCTTATAGAAAGCTTAAAGATATGCAGAAGCTTTAGCTAATGCAAAGATATCAAATAAAGTCGATAACACTTTCAAAAATAATATTTCGATTTCTATTAAGAAATTTATCGAGAATAATGGAAAGAGAATTTCGTTCTCTAGATTAACTTTCTTGTACTCCCTCCGTTTTAAAATGACTGTCGTTTAAGATTTTTACACACAGATTACGAAATGCAATGATATTGTTGCTAAATTAGTCTTATTAATGTGTTGGAAATAATGTACAGACGACACAATTGAAAAAATAACAATTATTACTACATTGAAAAGTAAACATGACATTCATTTTAAAACAAAAATTTTCTTTTAAAACCACAATCATTTTTTAAAATGAAATGAGAATTTTTTTTTGGTTTGCCTTTACCCCTTCCTTTATAGAAAAAACAAATACGATGGTTTACTCTTTTAAAAGAATTTTAGAAAAAAATAAAATAAAAAATGATTAATAGCAAAGCACTAAAAAGAGAAAAAAAGGTGTGAGCTCGAAGTGGAGTAGGAAGAGGGAAAGGTAGATAAAAAATTAAAGAAAAGAATATAAAAGAAAGAAGTGGAAAAGATTTGGAAAGAAAAAAGAAGGTGAAAGAGAAAGAAAGGAAAGCATAGTCGGCGCCCATTGTCCCCCCCGCCGACCAATCATAGCGTCGTTTTCAACCTCCCTTACTCCTCGCCTACAAAACTCCTCGTTTTTTCCACTCTTCTTTATTCTTAAACCCTCCTTATTTTTCTCTTCCAATTTTTCATATATAAATACAATTTTCCTTTCACACTCTTTCTATCTCTTTTGTACCCTGATTCTTCCTATTCACATTTTTTCCCTAATAATCGGAAGATTCCGGTTTCTAACCTAGTTTTTCTGTTCTTTAATTTCTGAATTTTCGTTAAATTATGAAAGCTTCGGTTGAAGAATCCATGGTAGCTGAAAGGTTTGATGATGGTGAAAAAGACAAGAAGAAGAAACGCCGATCCAATCGTCGAACTAAGCAGAATATTCCCTCAGGTATAATAATCTTTTCAATCTTGTCTGGGTTTAGGGATTATCAGAACTTCTTTTATCCTCATTGTTGAATTAGGGTAAATATTTCTATTTGTATCAAGTTGAAACTCCACAGGGAAAGCGATTTCTTGTTTCTTGAGCTGAAAATATATACTATACACTTTAGTTTAGAGTACTCAAAATTTGATCTTCAGTGATGATTTTTGTGGTCCTTTTCTTGAAGGTGAAACATGTCGTAATGATGTATGGGAAACTGTTTCAAGATTTTGTTATATTCTTTTTTTTGTGTGATCTTTTTTGTGTGATGAAATAGTAGGATAGATTAAATGGTTGAGAAATATTTCTATGAATGCTGAGAAATTTTGTTGATCAGTTTTTTCTTCACTAATTAATCTTAGTTGTTTTTATGTTGGGATAGTACTGGAAGTAAATGAAGCTGTTGTGGTGTCCTCAGAAAGCTCATTAAAAAATGGAATGGCTTCTCAAACATCTGGTTCTGTTAGCAATTCAAGGAAGCAGCAGGGTGTTATTGCTTTATCCCCTAATGAGCAAGGGTTATCAGAAGCCCCGAGTGTTGAATCCATATCAATGCCTCTCATCCATTTTAATGATGTTGATTTGCAAAACAAGCAAATAATACACGAAGGAGGAGTTGTTTCAAAACCATTTTCAGAGCCCATCTCTTGCTTAGTGTCATCGGGAACTAATAAAAAGAAAGACTCCGTCCCTTGCAGTCAATTTGGTTTTAATGGCCAGATAAATTATTTTAGTCCACACTGGTCTATTGATGCTGTTGAGAAGGCATTGGAAGTTAGTGATGTTTTCAAAGCTGTCTTTCATGTCAATGCTCACAATAGACTCGAGGTTTCTTCATCCATTTCATTGTTACTTTTGATTTTTTTTTGGGTTTTTAGTGGGTGTAGATGGGTAAACTTATGACACAGCTCATATTAGGCTGGTTCATCCATTTCATTGTTACTTTTGATTTTTTTTTGGGTTTTTAGTGGGTGTAGATGGGTAAACTTATGACACAGCTCATATTAGGCTGGCGAATCTGATATATTACTATAGTGATTACAGTCATCCATTTCATTGTTACTTTTGATTTTTTTTTGGGTTTTTAGTGGGTGTAGATGGGTAAACTTATGACACAGCTCATATTAGGCTGGCGAATCTGATATATTACTATAGTGATTAAAGTTTTCCTGTATCTGACAATGTAGGCCTACTGTAGAATTGATGGAGTACCAACCGATATTCTTATTGGCGGGGTTCCATCCCAGAATAGAGCTGTAAGTCTGGACATAAACATATATATTTGGTGTCTGTTGATTTTAGCAGTGGAACTGATTTTTTTGTTTTTTTTGTTTTCAACTTATTATATAATACAAATCATTAAAAAAGGCATTCATCAAGTGCATTTGCATGTTAATCTCATGTCCATGCTTTTTGTAAGATTTATGAATTTTATGTATTAATGAAAATGAATATATAAATGTAATAATAAACCTAGTATATGCCTGGTTATCTTCATTTTTTTTTGCTTGTGTAAGTTACTTTTTGGTTTTTGGGAAATAATCAATCATATTTAATTATTGTCCCATATGCTGTACTGCGTTCATCTTTTGTGTATAAGATAAAATGTGCATGTTTTTTCTTCTCGTGCGTTGGCAAAAGAAATTCTTCGAGATCTAGAGCAATAATCAATTTTTTCAGTAGTGTACACTGACTTTGCTGTTTATTTTACTCATTTACAACAAATCCTTTTTCATTTCTTATTGGCTTGGATTTTAGACGGGGCTGCATTGCTTCTTCCATAGCTGATACCACTTAACTGAGATGTGTCATTGTGGCATGTATATAGCTTGAGGATGTACATCTGATGATTGTTCCTTGTAGGTGGAAGGTGATGTTGTTGCAATAAAGATTGATCCTTTGTCATTGTGGACAAAAATGAAAGGATCAAATGTGGCCAACAACAATACTGCGGTACTGGAAGATTGCAACCTTCTTGTCCAAGATAATGTAGTGGATGATAACAATTGTGAAGGAGAAGACAAGTTAAATGCTGATCATGACTCTTCCAATTGTAGAAGCTCTCCTTGTCAAAAAAAGGTGGAATCTTATCATAATTCTTTCCCTTATAGAAGTTATCCATTTCCTAAAAAAAGACACATTTATGAAGATAGTAATACTACACAGGGTTCACCTAACCATTTAAGTTTAATTGGACTAACTGGCCGAGATAACATCAATGGACTTGACTGTGATGCGTTTGCTTCCTTACAGATCAATTCTGGTAGTGAACAAAGTGAAGTTATGAATGCAGTGGAGAAGATGTGTATGTTGGTTAATTCTTTCCCTTTTAAAAGACCAACTGGCAGAGTGGTTGCTGTTTTTGAGAGGTCTCCACGCCGAGATTGTATTGTTGGTCATCTTAATGTAAAGCAATTGGTTTTTTCCCGGGACATAAACCAGAAAGATGCAAGAAAGAATAAGAATTTGGTGTCTGAGCATGAGTATATCCAACTGACGCCAATTGATCCAAAGTTTCCTAACATAATGCTTCTTGTTAGAGACTTACCAGAGAGCATTAAGGGAAGGCTGAAAAGTGGTGATGCAGCAATTGAAATGGATCTGGTAGCTGCACAAATAGATGATTGGTTTGAAGAAAGTCATTTTCCAGAGGGTCATATTTTGCAAATTTTTGGGAGAGGAAGTGAAGTTCAGCCCCAATTAGATGCTATTTTGTTTCAGAATGGAATCTGTTTTTCCGAATTTCCGGCTAACACTCTATCCAGCCTGCCACAAGTTCCTTGGGAGTTACCATTAGGAGAATTGCAAAGTAGAGCTGATCTTAGAAACTTGTGTATATTTTCTATTGATCCTTCAACTGCAACTGATCTGGATGATGCACTGTCAATTGAGAAGTTGTGTAATGGAAATTATAGAGTAGGCATCCATATTGCTGATGCATCATACTTTGTAGTACCAGACACTTTTTTAGATGATCAGGCTCGGTTTAGGTCAACTAGTGTTTACATGTTGCAAAAGAAGATACCAATGTTACCTGCATTAATCACAGAAAATATTGGATCTCTTAATCCTGGAGTGGATCGACTAGCATTTTCCATGCTCCTGGATCTAAATGTTGATGGGGATGTTGTAGACCGTTGGATTGGTCGCACTGTTATTCATTCTTGTTGTAAGCTTTCATATGAACATGCGCAGGACATCATTGATAGTGCTTTCAATTTTGAGAGTTCAAGCTTTCATGAAGATGCCTATCCTAAAGTTCATGGCCGTTTTGATTGGCCGGATGTTCTTACTTCTTTGAAGAGTCTCTATGAAATTTCAAAGGTGTTGAAACACAAGAGATTTACTAGAGGGGCTCTTCGGCTTGATAACCCCAAAATTGTTATTCTGATTGATGATAATGGCATCCCTTATGATATTACATTTTCTGAACAGAGAGAATCAAATTTTCTAATCGAGGAGTTTATGCTTTTGGCCAATACAACAGCTGCTGAAGTAATATGTAGAGCTTATCCTGAAGTTGCACTACTGCGGAGGCATCCTGAACCTAATATGCGGAAGCTCAAAGAGTTGACTGCATTTTGTCAGAAGCATGGTTTAAATTTGGAGACTTCTTCATCTGGTCATATCCATCGGTCCTTAGAGCAAATAAAGGAAAAGCTCAAGGATGACCCTGTGCTTAATGATATACTTATTTCCTATGCTACAAAGCCAATGCAGTTGGCTTCTTACTTCTGTAGTGGTTATTTAAAGGATAATGAGCATGAGTGGGGTCATTATGCACTTGCTGTCCCTTTATACACTCATTTTACATCACCTTTACGTCGATATTCAGATATTGTTGTCCATCGGACACTACTTGCTACGATAGAGGCCGAAAACATTTATTTGAAGCAGATGGGAAAGGAAGTTGGAGGGAAGAAAAGATGTTTCACAGGCATCAACTTTGATAAAAATGCTGCAGAATCTGTTGAATGTAGGGAAGCTTTATCAGCTGCAGCCTTGAAGCATAGCGTTCCGAGTGCTAGAATACTTGCAGATATTGCTGATCATTGCAACGAGAGGAAGAAAGCTAGTAGAAATGTTAAGGATGCCTGTGATAGACTTTACATATGGTTTATCCTGAAGCAGCAAAAGGTACCACTTCTCTGATCATTTATTTAATTTTCATCCTTGTTCTTTCATATTGTTTAAATTATTTGCTTTTTCTTAAAAAGATTAAGGATTTTGCTAAGTTGTTCCCCAAGGGCATGTGTTACGGAATCCTCAAGTAAAAATTTTGCATTGGAAAAAGTGATTTTTAAACTTTTATGAAGTTGATATACACTTTTGAACTTTTGAACTTTTATGAAGTTGAATGCACACCTTTTATGATGAGTATTTCTATACCGAGTTTCTTAACATGTACCCTTAGCTTTTTTAATTAGTGAAATTGATTGAAGCTGAAAACAGTATTTGGTGAAGTTGAATACTGTACTTTTTAAACTTTTATGAAGTTGAATACACGCCTTCTAATTTTAAACTTTTACGAAGTTGAATACACATTTTATGATGAATATTTCAACACAGCGTTTCTTAACATGTACCCTTGGCTTTTTTAATTGGTGAAATTGATTGCAGCTGTAAACAGTATTTGGTTGTTTATTTATGTTAATTTGATAAATTTGTAATCAAAATACATATTCTTGCAGTACTTGCCTTTTCCCTCTGATACATGATTTATCTATTTAGTTTCTCCAAATAAAATTCACCTTAACTTTTTTATTTTGGTACAAAGTCAGCATGGTTAAATTTGTGTTCGTTCTGGATTAGATGTCCTTCATTATTTTTGATTTTACACGTCTTAACCAGTTAATGTCGATTATCAATGCAACTGTAGTATAGTTCTTCAGTGATGCTATCCCATCAGCCGAGTATCTACGAGTTGTGTTCAGTCTGGATTAGATGTCCTCCTTTGATTTTGATTTTACATGTCTTAACCAGTTAATGTCAATTATGAATGTAATTGTAGTACAGTTCTTCAGTGATTCTATCCCATCAGCCGAGTATCTATAATATTCTCTTATTTTATGGTTATTTTATATAATGATCTGCAAGTCATTATTCGGCATACTAATTTGTTCTTGGTGAATGAAGTGACTTTTGTACTATTTGCAGCATTTTCTTACCGGATTGAAATTTTTTGCTTTCTTATCAATTATTAGGCCTAGGGTTGGTTACAAATTTCTTCACTTAAACTATTCCCATCTATTCTACAGGTCTTACTATCAGAAGCAAGAATATTGGGACTAGGCCCAAAGTTCATGTCAATTTATATTCAAAAGCTTGCGGTAAGTAATTTCTGACAATATGTAGTTCAGATTTTGATAGTGTAGAGATATCAACATTTCTACAGTATCTGAAATGTGATTTTTAATATGAATATTTTTGGAATAAAAAATCCTTATACTAGTATTTACCGTTTTTGTAGTAGTCATAATAGTAGTAACAATTATTGGAGTACATTATTTAAAATAGTTTTTTTTTTGGAAACTTTATTAGTTCAACCTTTTGTTTGTAACTTACTAGTTAACAATTATTTCATTAACAAAATATACTATTGTTAACATGTTTTTGTAAAATTAAGCTTAAAATAGCATGTCGTGCTCTTCTTTTACAAATGTTGTTTGCAATTTTTAATGATCCTTGTCCCTTCTTTATCAGGTTGAGAGGCGCATATATTATGATGAAGTTGAAGGTTTGACTGCTGAGTGGCTCGAGGCAACATCCACACTGGTGCTTAGCATATCTCCTAATAAGCGTGTTTTTAGGAGAGGCACCACTAACAAATGGAGGGCATTGTCAGAAGCTGTATTGATTGCTTGTCCGTATGACCTGAAAGTTAAAATGAATTGTTGTAATCAAAATGAAGGGATGGGAGTGGATTCTGTTGCATCTGACATGAACACTGAAATTAAGCCTGCATTTTTTCCACTCACCGTGCATCCTCTTTCAACAATTCCAGTTGCACTTCATGCTGTTGGTGGTGATGCTGGGCCTCTTAATTTTGGAGTGAGGCTTTACATGAGCTCTTATTTTGATTAAGTCGATTGTTTTGAAATGGCAGGCTGCATTTGTGACTAGATATTTGATGTGCTGAATCTGTCAGACTCTCTTAATGGAAGGACTTGGCTCCATTGTTGAATTGTGTATAGTGACAGACATAGGAGGGAAACTTAGAGTAAAATATTGCTAATGCTTTATGAAAATGTCCAACTGAAATTTGGAGTAGGTGTTTAGGTAAAAGGTTGGAGTTTTCTGTTATAGGCTTTATCCTTGTTGCCTGCCTATTTACAGAATCTCTCCCTCTTACTGGAATTGGCTCTTGTTTTTTATTGGCCCGTTCCATCTACTTAATACGTGCAGGTATTTGGTTTTCTCCCAAGAGGCTGAGACCAATTCATAGTTTCTTTCTTGGTATGGCTGTGGCCCAATGGTTTTTTTGATTTTGGGTGGCCACTCATGTACTTAATTATATTTGGATTTCTAAGACATTTTGTATTTTAGTTATTGGAATGGAATGGAGTAATCTATTATGAGAGAGTTTTATTTGTTATTGTCGATATTGTTTTGAACTTTTAATGTGTTTGTGATATTGGTTTTTTTAAGTATGCTATGCGTTTCTTTATGGTAGTTCTATTAGTACACTTTGGTGAAGTGGAAAGAAGCTTTTGATTGAGACAAGTAAAAAGGAAAATACTCTTGGAACAGAAGGGTTTTCAAGAAAGAACAGACAAGTAGAGAGGAAAAAAAGAGAAAAATCATAAATTGAATTTGTGTAAAAGGAGAATCTTTATTGAGTGTAGTTGTCAATTATATCATTCCATGCTACCATGCTCTTTATAGTAGACAATTAAAGTTCAGATTCAAAATTTACAAAATACATAGTATATGCTGTATTAGAATCTTTTAAATACAATGGACTTTCACTACTTAGATTAGTTATTTTGTTACACTCGAATGTTAGTTTTAGACTTGAATTATAATTTCTACTGCACTCTTAATTCATGTTTTTGAGACTTCTCATCCTAATGCTTATTTTTAACGCTTCAAACCTGATTTTTTTCAAGATTTTGTGAGTATGTCGGCTAGTTGCCATTCTGTCTTGCAAAGTTCAAACATTCATTTGTTAACTTGATCCCTCAGAATATTATACCTTATTTCTATGTACTTACTTCGAGCATGACACATGAGATGGTGCCAAATCGATAGCTGACTTGTTGTCGACAAACAACTTCATTTTTTAGATTTAATTATCTTGAGCTCTTCGGACAACATCTTTATCCATGTTGCATATGATACAGCCACATACTCAGCTTCACAAGATGACAACCATAATGTTTTGCTTCCTTTAACTCCATGAGATTGACACACCTCGAATCATAAATATGTAGCCTGCAATACTCTTCTTCTTGTCTTAATCTCCACTGAAATCTGAATTAGTGTAGCCATACACCTTTGCATCTGTGTTGGTATTCTTTTTTCCCGGCATCAGAACACCATGATCAATTGTACCTTTGATGTATCTCAACACTCTCTTGACTGTTGTTAGATAACATTCTTGAGGCTTCTCCATGAACCAACTTAACACCTCGAAACTTTGACAAATGTCTGGTCTGATATTGCAAAGATACCTCAAGGATCAAATGATTTATTTGTATAGTAGTGTACTTACAAATTCACCATCTGTCTCCTTCCTCAACTTTGCTTCAGTTTCTAATGGCGTAGAAGCTGCATTACAATTGCTCATCTTGAATCACTTTAAGATATCTTGGGCACACTTCTTGTGGTGCAGGAACTCCATTCTTAAGAAATATGACAAATTTTTTAGGTCGAACATTTCAAACTCCTGCTTCGACTTTGACTTGACTCTTTTTATCTCTGTTTCATCTGTACTTGTAATCAACAAGTCATCTACATACAAGCATAAGATGATTCGATTAACCCTGTCTGCATCATTCACATATATTCCATGTTTAGAGACAGACTTTATGAAACCTGCTTCAATTAGAAAGCTATATATTCTCTTATTCTCTTGAGGCTTGCTTCAAACTATAGAGAACCTTTGACTTCTGCCCTTTTATTTCGAATCCTGGTGGTTGACTGGCATAAACTTCTTTTTTCAAAGGTCAATTCGAGAATGTTGATTTTACATCCAACTGATGTATCTTTCACCCTATGTATGTTGTTGTCGACACAACAATTCTGATTTTCTCCAGCCTTGCAACAGATGCGTAGACTTCGTCGAAATTAATACCAAGTTTTTGGTGAAAATCTCTTGCCACTAGACTTGCTTTATGCTTGACAATTTCAGCGTTTGACCTTCGTTTAAGCTTGTAAACCCATTTCACATCAATTGACTCTTGATTGACTATTTGACAAGTTCCCAGGTATTGTTCTTCTCGATTGACCTGAGTTCTTCTTTTGTGGTTGCTAACCAATTCAAATCATTCATGGCTTGATCCAAATTGATTGGTTCTGCTTCGGCCACCATCATCACTTCTTCTATTAAGTCACAAGACTGCTTGATCTGGAAATCTATCATATCCAGCTAGCCTTGTCGACTCAGTTCTTGCTCTAGTCGATCTCCTAACATTCTTTTTAGGTAGTTCTTCATTTTGATTGGTTGGGACTTCAGTTTGTCGACCTTATTCAAACACAATTGTAATTGTATCTAACTTCTGTCGAACTGGACCATGGCTCAAATCCCACCCTTCACTTTCATCCACTAGAACATCTCGTATGATCACAAGTTTATCATCATTCAGTGAATACAATTTGTATTAACTATTCGAATGATAACATATGAGCACCATAATTTAACTTTGATCATCTAATTTCTTCCTCAATTGTTCAGGTACGTGCCTGAAACACATCGATCCTAACATTTTCTAAGATGACTAACATTCGGTTTCACACCTGTCCAAGCCTCATAAGGAGTCCTCTCGATTATCTTCTTGGTTAGACATCTATTTAGAATGTATACAACTGTCGAAGCTGTTTTACCCAAAAATCTCTTTGGCATATCTTTAGCTTTCAACATACTCCTAGTCATGTTCAATATACCTCAATTATTCCTCTCATTTATGCCATTATGTTAAGGTGTATTGAGTACAATGACCTCATGATCTACCTTTCTCATTGTAAAATCTAGCAAATTCTCGAGAAGTGTATTCACCATCACCATTAGTTCTCAGTTTCTTAAATTTTCATCCACTTTGTTTCTCGACATGCAATTTGAACTTCTTGAACTGTGTGAATACCCCACTCTTTATTTCAATAAGGTAAATTTATGTATATCTGGTGAGTTCATCTATGAAAGTTAAGAAATAATAATTACCTCAATTCAACCTTATTTCAAAAGGTCCACACACATCATAATGAACGAGCTCAAGCTTTTATTTCAACCTTATGGGCAAGTCATGTTTAAATTCTTTCCTAGATTACTTTGCTTTGCAACATTCCTCACATACTTGAATTGGTTCCTTCACCTAAGGTAAGCCACACACCATCTTTCTCTAGTTCAACATACCTAAGCTTATGAAGTTAGATGTCCATACCTGTGATGTCATAGTCAATTATTATCTTCTTCTACAGTCGAAATAAGACACTAATGATTAATTGTGTTGATATCTACTTTGAAGGCCACGTTGTCTGCCAACGGTGCCTTTAGAATCAAGCTTCATGATACACCTCCATCTGATTCTTTTCAAGCTTCATGTTATACCATTTTGCGAGAAATTAACATACGCTTATCAAGTTCCTTGTCATCGAAGACACATACAACACATCAGTGATGCTGGCTTATCGACCATCATTTCTGACAACAAAGATATCTCATTTTCCATCTGATGTGATGTTTCTGCCGTCTGCAAACTTTATCTCTTTCTCAAGTGATTCATCTAGCTTGGTAAACTAGTTTTTATTGCCAGTCATTTGTTTAGTGCATCCTGAATCCAGGTACCACATGTTGGTTTACTTGGTACTCGATTGAGTGTTGGCCATGAGTAACACATCATCAGAGTCACTATCTTCAGCAGGTGCATATTACACTTCATCACTATCTTGCGCTCGTGTTTCCTTCTTTCTTCGTCAGTCTCGAGCGTAGTGGTCAAATCCTTGACAACTGTAACACTGCAACTCCTACATTTTAACTTTCTTCCCAAAATACTTGTTTCCCATGCCTTTCTTGGTTGAGTCATAATGATTCTTTAAATTCTTACTTGACTTCTTATCATTAATATGATTCTTTCCCTACTTCACCTTCTCTTTCCTAGATTTATTGATGAATCTTGATTGTAGTGCTTGTTTATCCACCTTATCCCTTTCTAAGTTCCTCTGCTTTAACCTCATCTCATGAGCCTTTAATGAAACTTGAAGTTCTTCTAACTTCATCTCAACTAAGCTCTTGAACTATTCAATAAACACTACAATGTAATTAAAATTTGCAGTCATAGATCTTAACACTTTCTCAATCTTCTGCAAATCATTGATCGATTCACCACATGCCTTCATCTGGTTAGTTAACAACACGACACATGAAAGGTATTCTAAGACTAATTCATCTTCCTTCATCTGAGTCATCTCAAATTGCTTTGTCAATGTATGTAACTTCATCCTTTTCAGTTTTTCATCTCCACCGTACATGTTCTTAAACTTGTCCATGCTCATTTCACCATTTCTTTTTCAGTTATCTTCTCAAACACGTTAGGACCCACACACTGGTGAATCAAGAACATAACTTTTCCATCTTTCTTCCTTTGATTCTTGTGCGCGGCTTTTTGAATATCATTTGCATTCGCTTCCAATGCTGGTACTCCAGCATTCACGATTTCAAACACATCTTAAAACCTGAAGATGACTTTCATCTGCACAACCCACCGTTCGTAATTCTCACCTTTAAAAGCTGGTAGATTCGCTAGAAATTGCGCTGATATTGTTCCGTTTTCATTATAGATTCTCTCTAAATCACAACAAGGGCTCCTTGATACCAATTTGTTGGAACAAAAGGGTTTTTAAGAAAAATGAGAGAAGAAGAAGAAGAA